TCTTTCCCTTCTGCTTTCTTTCTCACCTCATTAGCTTTGCCTCTCACTTCTTCCAAGTCCTCGGGCACCTGGAGCTCACAGAAAGGGCTGCAACTTCGTAAACATAAAATCACATTTCTGTCTCCGGGGAGCAGCCGGGAGACAAAAGCTCTCAAGGATCCCCCTCTTCTTTTTCTTTTTTGTTGTTTTTCCCTTCTTCAGTCCAAACAAATAAACAAACCAGGTGCAGGACTTAAATTCTTAGAGGGGTCCTCTCTGTCTCCAGGGCATGGCTTGCTTATTTTAGCAGCGGTATTAATAGCAGTAAATGGATTTCCCTTCAGTTATTCACTTCAGACACTGCTCCGGGCTGCTCTTTGTGGTCTTTGCGGTGGTTTCCCACCCCACGAGAAAGCCAATAATAAAATAAACAGAAAAACCTGCCCGCCACATTGCGTCTCTGGAGTCTCACAGCCCCTCACACGCTGGCATCCCCAAGCCGTGACCGCGCATCCCCCCACCCGCCGCCCCCTCACAGGGGTTTGGGATGGGACCTGGAATGGCTGGAGCAATCAGCATCGCTTCAGGGAACCCCTTACCCTGGGAAAAGCACATCCCACCTGACTCCCAGCTCTGGATTTGTCCCAGCTGCAGCTTTCTGCCTTGATACCCCCATTTGAGGAGCAATTGGGTCAGTGGGGAAGGAATATTTCTGGGTGTTTTCTCTGCCATCTGCAGTGTATTTTTCCATTCAGGCTGCTTTTTGACTATCCCAATGCCAGCACCTGGTGTAAAGGGTTACTAGAGAAGTGTTGTTATTATAAAGGATTTTAATAACCTCTAGGGGCGAGTTCCCGCCTCCCTTGAAGTCCGAGACAAAACTCCAACTGACTACAAGGGAGGCAGGATTTCATCACCGTGGGTTGTTTTTCTTTAATGCCCGCTCAGATTTGGGTTTGATGTGTCCCTTGAAGGCAATGCTCACACGAGCATCCAGGCATACCTCTTGTTTCAGGGTATTTCTGTATCTTTTCATCTTTGGAAGCTCTTTTCTTCCCACCCCTCCATGAGCACACTGGAAACCTTCAACCCTTAATCCTGTCCGTGCCTTTTAGTGTCCATTTAGATATTTCAGACCCCTTATCTCCCTCCCGTAAACTGCTGAACAACATGAGTCGGGTGTAAAATGTCTCAGATGGTCTAAAACCCTCTCGCTAACCCTGACCAGCCAACATCATCCTCTGCTTTGCCCCCTGCCTTGAAAAAGTCACAGTTTGGGGGCTCCCCCCCCACCCAGGGAGGAACAGAAATGATCTAACCCCCCCATCCCCACCCCAAGATCTGCAAGCTTGGCCTGCAATCGCACCCCTGTTATTTGGGGAGGTAATAACGCCTTTTTCCACTCAGTCCAGCACAGGTTACGTTTGCAAGAGGAATTTGCAAGGGGAGGGGAGGGAGGGAGACTCTTTGGGGCAGACGTGATGTTTACAGCTCTGGAGAGCTCTGGGTCACTGATCAAACCAGCAGCAAGTGGCCTGCGGACTCCTAAAATCTGGAGCTGTTCTTAACTCAAAGCTCTCTTTTTCTCTTCATCCCGAGGCTGTTTGCAGCCAGCCCCACTCTTGCACACAGAAAATGCTCCCATCCAACACCTCCAAGAGTCTGGTCCCAGGGATGGGAATAGGCGATACGAACTATATATAAATGTGTGAGTATCCATCTCACATTTTTCCAGCTTTCCCATCCAAGAAGGAAAGACATCCACCTGACCCCGCCGCCAGCCTGCAGCTCTCCCCAGGAGCACAGTCGCCTGGTTTAGGGGTAGTGCATCCCCAAATGACCTGCAGTGAGGACGGGGAGCAGGGACAGGGAACGGGGGGTGGTGGGGCTGCTTGCAGCCCCCAGGTCTCCCCTCTCCATGCAGCTTCTCCTCTCGCTTGCAGCTCCTGGGTCTCCCCTCTTTCTTCCAGCCCTCTGCATCTCCCTTCTCGATTGCAGCCCCTGGGTGTCCCCGCTACTCTGCAGCCTCCAGGGCTCCTCTCTCCATTGCAGCCCCCTGCATCTCCCTTCATGCTTGCAGCCCCGAGTCTCCCCTCTCCCTTGCAGCCCCCGGATCTTAGGTGTCCCTATACCCTTCTCCATCTCCCCTCTCCCTTTTAGCCCCTGGGTCTCCCCTCTCACTTCAGCCCCCAGTGTCCAGTCTCTCCTGCAGCTCTCGGGTCTCCGCTCCCCCCTGCACCACATCTGTCTCAGGTCTCTCTACACCCTCTGGGTCTCCTTCTCCCTTGCAGCCCGGGGTCCCCCCTCTCTCCTGCACCCCACCATGTCTCCCCTCTCCCTGCATCCACCCAGGTCTCCTCTCTCCTTTACAGCCACCAAGCCTCCTCTCTCCCTGCATCCCCCCGGGTCTCCCCTCTCACTTGCAGCCTCCAAGCCTCCTCTCTCCTTGCATCCCCCCGGGTCTCCCCTCTCCCTTAGAGCCACCCGGGTCTCCTCTCTCCCTTACAGCCACCCGGGTCTCCTCTCTCCCTACAACCCCCTCCATCTCCCCTCTCCCTTGCATCCCCCCCCGGGTCTCCCCTCTCCCCGCAGACCCCTGCTCTTGGCCACCCCCTCCCTCGCACCTTCGGCGTTTCGGGGGCCTCCCTCCGG